TTTTCGGATTACTCATCGTCATTATTTACTAAATACCAATAGTAATTTCAAACATTACTCTTATCATTACAAAATGTAAATAGGTATTTAGTTTGTTGCTTTTGTTGAATGTAGATATGAGAACGAAATCCAACGTGGCTTGGAGACACATAAGCTGAGCTGAAAAACGTGAGGGCTGTCCCAGTGTGTCTTGCCTGATCCGTGAAGCAAGGCGACGAAGAGAGACCCTATTTGCTAAAAATTATCACTTAATACCCCGAGTGTGTTGATTGTTTCAGGAATTTTTTTCGAGTAATTGTCAAAAACGTAATTAGTTCGGGCTGAACGAAATTCATAACCATCAAGAAATTATTTTTCACTCTTTAGTACAAAAGCTTATTTTTAAAAAACATTTTATTTGCTTTTGTTTATTTTTTAGACTTTACTTTTTTTTTGTGAAATCATTTAAGTTTTAATTTTCTTGATTTTTGATTTTTTTTTTAATTTTCTCGACTTGTTTTTTCGTATTTTGTTTTTTGAATTTATCTGAACTTTTTACCTTTTGTATTTTGTTTTAATTTTGATTTTTTAACAACCCTTTAGTCTTTTTCCTGCTCTATCCAATGACGGAGGTTCCATCTTTATATTTCAATTAGGAGCCGAGATATAAGTTTATAACAGTTAATYAAGTATTAATCAAAYTAAAAAMTATTGTACGTCACYGAAATTACGTATGTATGCAATATTTCAGTTTGTTGGGACGACAAAACTGTCTCAAATTTGACTCGCAAGATTCCATGCAGAAAAACAGACAACTTTTTWWAAGTTCCTTCATCCACAAAGATAAAAAAACATCTATAATGTATTTTAAAATGTCAGCGTTTGCCACACCTTTTCGACAACAGCCTCGCATTTTTGTACATACCTCATTTTTTTGAAGTGCTATTTTTAATAAAAGGCCATTAAACTCAATAATTTGCTCATTTCAATATAACTTAGGAAAAAAGGCTGTTTTACTTATATTACTCTAAACTGCAGAGTAGTTTGGTGAACGCTACTCTATTTAGATCAGTATAGGTCTCATACGCTACAGGTAAATATTTATATTTTACATGTAGATAGAGCTTATTCCATATTTGGTGGCGAACTGACGGTGACAGAAAAGACACTTGGAGTGTGCCCACTTGGTTAAGATAAAAAAATACATGGGAGTACTTTTTTTCTCTAAAAATTTTGAAGACAAAGATTGTTATGAATATCATTTTTGAAAATTTTTTTCATGCGTTAACAATTTAATAATTTGTTCATCATTCTTCATCTTATGTACGACTACCTACTTATTATAATTTTTTAAGGAATAACAGTGGTTTTGAAATATTATTTCATACGACGCCAATYAACAATATTTTTTTTAATAGTAAACATATGTTTAATGTCAAAATTCAGTCATTTTTGACAACGTCAGTTCGCCACGAGATTTGGAACAAGCTCTAGTAGATAAAAAAAAAAGATAACATCAGAACGCAACGATTGGCTGAAAAAGTGTTACACTATGGCTACACCTGACTTTTGTACTCACTAAATCGTAGACAGCAATTTTTTCAAGACTCACTCTTTCTCCTTTTTTAATTATTCCCACATCACAGATATTCTTCTTAATATCCTTTTATTTACTACAAATTAGACACCTTAGCATCGTTGTAATTTACTATTTTACTCAAAGCAAGAGTTAAACATAGTGCAATAAGCATTTTTAAGCAATATCAATTCCATTCTAATCATAAGCAAACAAAAAAATTAACCTCAACCCCATAACATAAATGCTCCATTGCGTAATTATTGATAAATTTGACATGAGTGATTGTCAATTTTGATACTTTTACATAAAATTTATTGATACTGTTGACAATTAACCACACTATACACTAATTATACTCTTTTTCACATTAATATGCAACAAGTAGGTTGCAGTAGTCTAAGTGAATCTTTAATTTAAAGGCAGATTCATACAAAAAGTGTCATTAATGTCATTCAGAACAAATGTAATCACATGAATATTGACAAAAATCTTTTATGTTCGAGTCCCATGTTAATTACGTTGTTAATTTTAATTATTTTTTGCTAACTGGGGTACACATTTATTTGGAAAAATAATTTTTAGGCAAGACTGAGTTTAAGATTGTTTAAATTTTCGCATGGTTGCCACCTTAAAGTAATCTCTTTCAACGTCTACTTTGATGCACATTAATATGAAAACGCGTATAGGAAGGAGTATTATACTGAAGCGGCAATTACTTTTTTATTTGCCCCGCCTATTCGGTTTTCTTAGCAATCAATAAAATGTCTCCAAGGTGGTCAGCTAAGTGAAAGATTTTAAATTTTTGACTTTTACATTCTGTTAGATGTTCTACTTCTATAAAATGTTTTGGAAGATTTAATTATAAATTTGGGAAAAAGTGATGACAGTGATTTATTTCAGCATTAATTTTAAAGACTTGGATTCAATTTTATTATCGAGTTGTCATGTGCACTTCTGCAGAACTACTGTTACCCGCACCGTAAATCTATTTCTATTTTAWCATTAAAAAAATTGCCAATTTAATTGTTATTTCAGTATCAAATGTGAATATGCATTGTGTACTCGTAACATCGCTTCAATTACTATTTTATCAATTCATTTTTAAATAGAAGATGTAAACCGTCGCAAACTATTATTTATAACATACCACAGCAACTGTAAACGCAATGATCAATAGGTTTTCAGAGTAGGTACTTTTAAACTTTAATATCAATGGAGTGAAAAAATGAAAACTTCATAAGCAATTACCCGATCAAAGTTAATAAAGTCGAAACGTTTCTGATAAGATTTAACCATGTCATTCAAAAAAATAAAAATAAAAATTAAAATCGTTTACAAATTTAATCAAAAAGAATTAAAACTTCACTTAGAAATGACTGGTAATTCTTTTCTAGATATTCTAAACATATCAAAATAATAAAAAACTGGCATTACCAATATTTAACAACAACACATTAACTATTTCAGTTGCTGTGGCATGAAAAGTTCTGTACAAAAAATAAAAAGTACACTTACCTAATTATTATGCTCATCTGCTAATTTCCTTTTTTTTTTACTAGACCTTACTCAATTATGCTTATGCATATTTTTTTTAATGTTAAAGAATTAGAAACATGCATTAAGTATTTTTCAAGATTTTTATTACTAAAAATAATAATTCTACAGCTCTCAAACAGATGTAGATTTAATAGATTGCTTCATCCCTCAACTGCCTCTTAATCCGTGGAAATGGTCTTCGAGATGATCCTGGTCCARATGTTTAAAAAAGTAAGCTCTATTCTTATTCTAGGTAGGTAGGTAGATAGGTAGGAAGGTTTGTGTCTTTTATTATTGTTGTTTTTGCTCATTTTTAATAATGTTTACACTATGCACGAATCAACAACACAAAAASCGCACATTTATTCGGTTACATTACAGATATCAATCGCCTTATTTCTAATTTACAACCAAAAAAGAACAAAATTATGAGCCACATGTTTCTGTAACTTACCATAAAAGTTACCTTAACCGTGTTACACCAAAAAAACACTAAAAATCAGATCACTTTCAGTTAACATTATATCAACCTTAGAAATTATAAATTCAAACACACAAAACGATGCTAATAACACAATAATTAACATAAATAATTCCCCCCAAAAACAGTAGAAACAATTGTTTCCTTCATATTCAACACCCAAACAAATTTGTCCATTAATGAAAACAATAAACAAACTCCCACATTCATACAACACACTATGGGTACCCACACAAATAAAAACTAACATGCTTTTTTTTTACTTACCGTACTAAATAACACTTCCGTGTTGACTTTTCAATCACAAGTTAATTTAATGTATTGCAGTACCTTAATTTTTGATTAACTAATTTATTTAAAAAATACCAACTACTGGAACAAAACAAGTGAATAATTTTACAGTAAATTTAATTTCCAATTAAATCGTCGGAAAACTGAAAAACAGCTTCCTTAGTAAACCTAATTAGCAATTAAATTTACAGAAAAATTAAAACCTTGTTTTAGTACTAAAATGTAAATTATAAATTTAATAATTTACATTTAAAACTTGTGAAACCCCATTAAAATAATTGTAATAAATCTTCCAAGTAAATATTGGAAAACAAAGTCATCATTACTTATTCATTCAAATTAAAAAAAAAAATGCATCACACCACTGTCAAAAAAATCAGTTTATCCCAAACGAGATTAACTCCAAAACCAATACACAAAAAAAAATTAATTCACTTGTAGAATAATCGACTGCAAACACAATCGATTAAGAAATTTCGCAGCACAGGAAAAAAAAAGTGAAAAAAAACAAAAGTTTCATTCACAAATCATGATCTAAGAGCACATTTTTACCTCAATCGAATGAAACACAATCGATTGAAAAACACACACCCAAAAAATGAAAGAAACAAATGTTTCATTCAAACAAAACAATATCTCGTACAACAATATGTTGACAAGATAACAAGTACATATGCAAACAAAATAAATGATACAGACATGCCGTATCTACATATTAAATAGGCAACACTTAAAACTAATGTACAACAAAAAAATCTTAAAAAGTTTCTCAAAAAATACAAAAATTAAGTGAAAAACAAAGCATTCTGAGAAAAATAACATTAACAAATTACTTTTTAAAACTTTTTCTTTGTACATAGGCGCATATGGATGTCATTTGAATCTAAAAAATTACAAAATGACGACTGGTTTAATTAACAATTTTGCCCACTTACCTTGAAAATATCCCGAGATAATTGTTTTAGTATCCAACGATGAAAATAATACAAATGACCCAAAAAAAAAATACTTATGAAACCAAATACACAATCGTACGAAAGTAAAAACCGCGTAAAACAAAAAGCAGTAATCAAACCAGTCAAGTTCAGACATCCATATGCAAATTTCAGTTTGAAAAGATAAAAAAGTACTCACGGTGCTTCAACGGAGGCCTTGCCCACCCCAGAAGGGCCAGGTTGATCATCGGCACTAGTTGAAGGTGCTTCAACATAATCAGGTTGATCTATTTCTTCGCTATCTTCCTCTTCCGCCTAAACAAACAAAATTAAAATCCAAAATATCTACAAAAAATCACAAACAAACCTTGGTTATCTGCATGGCAGCATCAAGATCATCATCATCAGTCTCAATAGGTGCTTTATTCAAAGCAGCGGCACGTTTCGCCCTCTTTGGTGCAGGTTCATCAGTCATTAACCCCACATTTGATTCGGAAGGCCCCCCGAATTCGAATTCTTGCGGATAAGGCAACTTCTGCTGTTGCATTAAGTAACTATGAGTGTCCATACCCATATCAGAGTTGTCATCCCCTCGAGAATCAGTTGGTTCAAAGGTCTCTTGTTTAATCATGATTTCGGGTTTTGTACTAGCTAGGGGGTCTTTTGCCGCTGACTGAGAACAACTTAAATCGGCTTGATTGAGCCATTTTAATAATTGTTTTTCGGAATCTACACTCGTGTTCCGGAAGTTGTAGAGCATATCTAATTTACAGGAACATCCATCACAGATCTTTTTGGGCAGGCTGTCATCGCGAGATACCTGTAACAAAAAAAAATTAATTAAGTGACCTWGACTCAAGATTACAGATTTTTCTAAATTCTACCGCCCCTACTAAATTACGGTGTCATAAAGTTTATGACCCCTCATAAAAGCCGAACCCTCGGTATTGAACCAGTAGAATGTTAGAAAGAATGTTGTTCTGTAAACACACATGCGCAAGAAATCAAAGAAAAATTCTTTCACGACAAAGTAGATAAAAAATTGAGTTTGGCAAAATTTCATGAACCCCCTAATTATTTAGAAAAATATGATCAAGTCAGCTTGGGACATTGACATTTAAATTATTATGAAATTACACATTTTCTTTAAACTAATAGAAAAAATTGTTGTAAATTAAGCAAAATTTAATTGTTCAGTTTTTAAAAATAAAAGGGTGCTGATGGTGCCCCATTTCCAGGCAGTTTGGGTGTTACAAAACAACCGAAGGTCAACCGATTTCCCCACCCACCAAGCCGCGCATAACTGTAACACTCTGTATATTGATTTTTTCCCCAGAAAAGCCAAAATACTTTAAAAAATTAAAAATAAAAATAATAGAATTAAGAAAACAAAAAATAGTGGGTTTGCGAAGCGCAATCTAAGCTGGCAATGTGATAAAAACCGAAGGACGCGTTGGCTTGGGCAGGGACGGCGTCAGCGACGCATTAAGCGTAAATTTGGGCAAAACTAAAAAAAAAATAGCAAAAACTAGCCCAACACTTGATAATTCGAAGGTCAGGGCGTCAAAACGCCGGTAAACAGCCGTAGGATGTCAAAAATGGGCTGTCGAATATCAAGAAACTCACAAAAAGCAAGATGGCGGAACGACGCCGACTTACCTTCACCGGCAGACACGAATTGATTTTCACAAAAGTCTGTTCTTTGCTAGCATTTTCTTCGAAAATTGGTACATTTACTTGGTCCTTAACTAAGCACAAACGGCACAATTCGGAAATGTTTTCGATGGAACCCATTTTTTTGGGCTTTTGCTACAGCCACACCAGACACCAACATTCACCTTCTACAGCGTTCACATAAATGAAGAGGGCGGAAATGTGACGTCAGAGCGTTGCTTGGCCGGGAAACGGCAAAAGGGGACGATGGGAAGGCGCCAAATTTGAATTTCAAAAGTGGGGGGCTGAAACACTTTGCCAACCAAAATGAAGTGCAAAAAATGGTGAGGTGAACAGCAAAAAAATTAATTGGAGGAAAAAATAGCACCCGTTATATCCATTTGATGAAAAAGCTGTTTTCATATTTGAATTCTTTTTAACGTTCAGACTTTTAGAAACATTTTTTATTAATAGAAAAGCACAAAAAAGTTCAAAAAAATAAATTTCTTTCCCTTTTTTTCTTGATCTATTGATTTAGCCAGCCAAAACAAAGTGCAAAAAACTGGTAAGGTAATCACCAAAAACATTAATTAGAGCAAAAAATAGCACTCGTTATGTCCATTTGATGAAAAAGTTGTTTTACCTACCATAAATTATTCGGACTTTTAAGAACATTTTTTATTGATAGGAAACCACAAAAAAATTCAGGAAAAGATTTCTTTCCTTTTTTTTTTAATCTATTGATTTTGGGTAAAAATATTTGTGTATAAACAAAATTATAGAAATTAAAATTGTTATTATAGGAAAATTTGAATATTTAATCAATAATGATTGGATTATGGTGTTTTTATATTAATTATTGGATTATGTTTTTTAACAATACGCCTATGACGTCTTTTTATTTCAAAATAAAAAATTAAAATCATTACCGGTCTGTTAATTTTTATAACCAACGATAAAAAAAGATTTCTTTTAGAAAATCGAAAGAGTTTCATGAAAAATATTATTCTCATTAGTATGAATCAGATTCTTTTGCTTAGTAAGTATGTTATTCTAAAGTAAATAAAAATCCGTCTTTGGGTGACAATAGTTCTTTATTATAATAAAATAATAGTAGATAAAATTAATAGTTATTTATTATACGAGACTATAAAATTGAATTTTATCTTTGAAAGCTAATGAGCAAAAGATAATGACAATTTTATCGTCGTGTACAATTTAAAATTTAATTCAATCCTCACTAATTTTGTAGTCAATTTGGTCGATATTTATAAAAATATCAAAGTAAAATTCAACAATGAAATCTAATATCAAACAACTAACAACCGCAGATAAACAACAATGGATGTATTTTTTATCAACTCGACGATAAAATTTCATTTTAACATGAAGAAAAGAGTAGATAAAATTCAATTTTAACATAGAGGATTGAATGAATGTTATTTTAGCACCTTTTTCCCTTAAATTACCAGTTCATAAAATGTCAATGTAAACCATGCTTTATTGTCATTAAGATTGACGTTTAAAATTAAAATTTGGAAATTTTAGTTTTCTCGGAAACAATAACGCAAGAAATACGTGTTTTTATATAACTTCAATAAATTATTTTGATTTGTTGTCATTTTTTCTCTGTAAAGATAAAAATTACAAAAACCGAAAGTGAGGTTAGTTGAATAAGGCCGGCTTTACATTTTTACGTCAGTCTAATGGCAAATCGTCCAAAATTCCGTGTCCGCAATTGTACAATTTCTGTCTAAAAATTAAGTATTTGATCTACTTTTCTGATTAAAATACTCCTTGATCTATTATTTTAAATAAAACAAATTGCCATTTAACATCTACAGCAGAAAAAAAGCCATAAAACAATTTTGAACCACGTGTTTTGGCATCTTGACACTGTAAGATATGTAATAAAAATTTCCGATTTTTTGTGCATCAGTTACATATTTAATCTTTTGAAGCTTTGTGGTAATAAAAAGACATTTAATAAAAACACTTCATTAGATAATTTTTCATTTTAACTACATTAATTTTTACAGGTATTAAATTTAATCATTAAATAAACTTATCCGATAAAAACTAAAACATTACAATACTCTTAGGAATAAATTGGAGAGGTGTAGGTACACAAGTCTTATAATTCGTTAGAAAAATTCCATGAAATCATCCGGCAGTGTTTGCCACAGTCACGTAACCCCAACTTTAGAAGCATTTACGGTGAACAATTCCAGGTCCAGACTCATCATACTCTTGTTTAGAGATCCACATTTGCTGGAAAGTGGACAAAGATGCCAGAATCGAGCCACCGATCCAGACCGAGTACTTCCTTTCAGGAGGAGCGATAATCTTGATTTTGATGGTCGAGGGGGCCAAAGCCGTGATCTCCTTCTGCATCCTATCCGCAATACCTAAAATAAAATAAATTAATTAAGATACTAACGTCTTGGAGGGCGAAAAACTAACCTGGGTACATGGTGGTGCCCCCAGAGAGTACCGTATTGGCATACAGATCCTTCCTGATGTCGACGTCGCACTTCATGATGGAGTTGTAGACAGTCTCGTGGATCCCACAGGACTCCATCCCCAGGAACGACGGCTGGAAGAGGGCTTCCGGGCACCGGAACCTCTCATTCCCGATTGTGATAACCTGTCCATCGGGCAACTCGTAACTCTTCTCCAGAGAAGTCGAATTAGCGGCTGTTGCCATCTCTTGTTCGAAATCCAACGCCACATAGCACAACTTCTCCTTGATATCCCTCACAATCTCCCGTTCTGCAGTGGTCGTAAACGAGTACCCTCTCTCAGTGAGTATTTTCATGAGGTAATCGGTCAAGTCCCTCCCGGCCAAATCCAACCTGAGGATAGCGTGCGGAAGGGCGTAGCCTTCATAGATGGGCACTGTGTGGGAGACCCCATCGCCCGAATCCAACACAATACCAGTGGTACGCCCCGAAGCGTACAACGAGAGTACCGCTTGGATGGCCACATACATGGCGGGGGTATTGAACGTTTCGAACATGATTTGGGTCATCTTCTCGCGGTTGGCTTTGGGGTTGAGGGGGGCTTCGGTGAGGAGGATGGGGTGCTCCTCAGGGGCCACGCGCAGCTCGTTGTAGAAGGTGTGGTGCCAGATTTTCTCCATGTCGTCCCAGTTGGTGATGATTCCGTGCTCGATGGGGTATTTCAAAGTCAGGATACCGCGTTTGCTTTGGGCCTCATCACCGACGTAAGAGTCCTTCTGGCCCATACCCACCATCACTCCTTGGTGGCGAGGACGGCCCACGATGGACGGGAAGACGGCTCGGGGGGCGTCGTCGCCCGCGAAGCCGGCCTTGCACATGCCGGAACCGTTGTCCACCACGAGGGCGGCTACGTCGTCGTCGCACATGGCTGGGATTTACTGAAAAGTTTTGAGTTGTTTCAATTGTTTTTTCTTTAATTACACAAAAACAACAAAGTGGAAAAAATTAAATACACCCATTTAGGTTTGAGTTTAAAATAGCAAAACGAGCCACGTAGCGGCAAGTTGCGAAACAAATAATTAGAAAGTGGTCCGAATTTGGTGCTCAAAATAAGCAAAATGTCAATTAATTAGTGTTTAGATGCATTTTTTGACAAAAATTGTCGAATACAGGGTGTTTCATCTAAGTTGTTTTCGGTTACTATCTGTCATATACCCCTACAGGTGAAAAAATGTATTTTTTTTATTTCCCCACCACAAAAAATTAAAATCAAGTAAAATAATTTCTCTTGTAAAATCAAAACAATTTCGGTTACTATCTGTTAAATTCTCCTATGGCTGAAAAAAATGTACTCCTATTTTTTATATTCTCCCCACAATAAAAAATAAAAATCATTGTTAATTTACATAAATAATGAATTAAAAAAATATTCTTTTATGAAATCAAAAAATTTGATAAAAAAAATGTCATTGTCATTAGTGCAGGGTCCCATCTAAGTTGTTATTGCTTACTTTCTGTTGTATTCCCCTATACATGAAAAATGAATTTTTTATACTTCGGCAACAA